TCAGCTGGTCCTTGAGTTGCTGATGCGGGAACCATGGGGCAACGAGGCACTGAGCAGGGAGCAGTGCTCTGTTCTCAGTGCCCTGGCTGGCCGGCGCCTTGGGGCAACCTTGGCACCCATCAGGAGGTGAGCAGGGCTGGTGGTCCTCACCTCGGGCAGCCCTGAGGTCGGCTGTGCCCCTCTTCCCCTCATCACTGCTGGGCTTGAGGGGCTGGCTGGGCAAGCAGGTGCCTGGGCTCTGCAGAGGCATCAGCTGCGGGGTTCCCAGGAGTAGCTGCCCAAGTAGGCTGAGGGGGCAATTGCTCCAGCTGAGCTCATTCTGCAGGTCATCTGCAGTGGACGAGTCGTGCCAGTCCCTGCTGTCCCACTCGGATATCAGCTATGACCGCACTGAGGACGACGTGGTAAGAAGTGTTCGGCTGCGAGTCTCAGGGTTTACCCCAATAGTGAGGGGTAGTTTTGCTCTCACTTCTGCAGTGGCACAGCCCCTTTGTATATCCATGGTTAGGGATGGGTTGCTGTCAGAGCTGGAGATGAATGTTGGGGATGCCCCTGGCCTGATGCAGCCTCAGACTCCCTGCTGCCTTTCAGGATGTTGATATGACGGTGGTGCGGACCCTGAAGCGCAAAGCTCCGGACAGGCAGGTACAAGGAAATGCTGGGATGTGGCAGTTTTGGGGGCTGGTGTTGAGGTGGTGTCTGTGCCTCTGTGTGGGTGAGGATCCCCCAGCTCTGATCACACTCCAATGTGCCCTTTGGGTCCTTCTGCCCACCCAGGTCCCAGTGTGCATCCCAGGCTGGGATGCTGGCCCTGTGCCATGCAAGGTGAGGACACCCAGATACTTCTCCATCCTAGTACAGGAGGCTGCAAGGAGCCTGGCAGGGAATTTAATTTACTGATGCTGTGCTGGGAGCATCGTCTCTTGGCAAACCTCCCATGATCAATAGAAAGTCCATTATGCTCCACCGTAGCCCAGCTGGGCTCCTCAATAATTCATCACCGTGTGTGGGCATCCCGCACCCTGCTCTGCTCACACCTCTGCATTGCAGGCCTGACCTGGCTTTCCCCAGCCCCAGGACTGGCTCTGACCTGGTGGGGAAGCCTGAATCTTCATAATGCCTGGTGTGGGGCCTGAAGTGCTTGGGGAGTAGGGTGAGACTGGGACTTTTTGTTGGGCTGAGGCCACTTGGCTTGGGTACTCTGGGGAGTGGGGAAATATCGGGGAGGAGGGGTGTCTCTGCCTGCTCTTCACGCTGTCTTCTGTTTCCAGCGTGTGTCCCTGGCCCCTCAGGTTGGCCCTGTGGTGATGGCAAAGCGGCACCGTTCTTCTGTGGTACCCCATAATGCTGTGAGTAGAGACCCCAGCATGCCCTGGGCCGGGATGAGGTGCGTGGGCTTTCCCAGTGCCAGAAGGCAATGCTGCAGCCATCAGTCCTGTGGATGCTGTGGGGACAGTGCTCAGCTGTCTCCTCTGGGTGCCTGTGTCCTTCAGCCTGTATCACCTTGGTCCCAGTAGGGACAGCATCCCTGGCTATTCTGGACCACTGCCCTGAAGCCTACATCCCCCCGTACCCATGGTGGCAGCATCCCTGGCTGTGCAGGACCACAGGGATGGGGATCAGGTGGACCAGAGGTCATTTGGGAGATGTTGGAGAACTGTGGGGCTGCAGTCACGTATCTTATTGGCCTCCTACTTTGCCAGATGAGTGTCCCCTCTATGCCCCCTCCTGCTGAGGTCCCAGGCCCTGCTGACAGCCTCCCGCCTGCCGTTCTGGTGCCTCAACGCCGCTCTCGCCAGGGACATCGTGTCTCCACCCATGCAGGTCACAGGAAGGGCTGAGAAGGGGTTTGATGGGTGGTATGGGACCAGCTGCTGCTGTCACAGGGGAAGGAGGGGATCTGTTGGGGAATGCTTGTCCCCACTGTGGAGGTACTAGGGCCCTCTGGACATGCCAAATGCCACTGGCTCGTGCAGAGACTCCCTGGGAGGTGGGACGCCTCCTCACATCCTAGCTGGTAGATGGAGTAGCTTGCCTTTCAGGTCTCCCTCCACGGCCTCCTCCCTCTGCAGAGCTGACTACGGTTTGGGGCACCAGTGAAGATCTGGGCCGCCCTGCTGCGGGGCAGGAGAGCCACACTGAGGGCAGCTCAGTGGGACAGCCAGCAGCAGCCCCCTTCCCCTCACCTCCACGGAGTCTCCCACCAGTCCAGCACAAGTTCGCCTCTAAAACGGTGCGTGACCCGACCTCTCTCTGGGGAGGTGGGCAGGGGAATTATGCAGTGGGGGGCAAGGCTGTCCTTCATTCCCCATCCCCTTAGCTCTGCCTGCAAGGGGAATGGATGGAGACAGTGGGACTTGGCTGGGAGAAGATAAAGGAGTGTTACTGGGTATCTGCAAGAAGGGGGGCCCCTGACCCTGTTCCCTTCTTCAGGTGATCCGCCCTGAGCCGTGTCGTGTCTGTGGTTCCCGCATCCGCTTTGGGAAGACGGCCATCAAGTGCTGCCAGTGCCAGCTGATTCTACACACCAAGTGTCGGGAGCAGTGCCCCAGCCTCTGCACACCCAGGCCTCGCCACCACGCCTGGCCCCACGAGGTGAGGGGAGCACGGCAGTGCTCTCCATGTCCTCATGAGGCTTCAGGGCTACTGGCCCTAGAATGCTGAGCCTCTGCCCACCCTGGCTACAGGGCTGGGTGGTGGGCACAGCGTTGGCATTGTTCTCCCCAGGGTGTGCTGGCTGACTTCGTGCCATCCACGCCACCCCTGGTGCCCACACTGGTGGTGCAGTGTGTTACCGAGGTGGAGACACGAGGCTTGACAGAGGTAGGGGCCAGGATGGGGGAGGTGGCAGTGCTGTGGTTCCCAGGGGCTGAGCCCTTTTCCCTGTGCCCCAGACAGGGCTGTACCGGGTGCCAGGCGCGGAGCAGCTGGTGCGGGAGTGGAAGCGGAAGCTGCTGCGGGCTGGGGGCACGCTGCCCGCCCTCAGCAGCGTGACTGACATCCATGTGGTGTGTGGGGTGCTCAAGGATTTTCTGCGGGGACTCAAGGAGCCACTGGTCACCTTCAGCCTCCACCCTGCCTTCCTGAGGGCTGCTGGTGAGCAGGGGGTCCCGAGGTGAGGGAGGGGGAAGGGACTGCTTCTCCCCTAACACTGCTCCCTGGCACTGCCACAGACATCCCTGATGATGCTGCCAGTGACACAGCCCTGCGCCATGTGGTGAGCAAGCTGCCCCCGGCCAACAGGGATACCCTGGCCTTCCTCATGCTGCACCTGCTCAGGTGAGTGGCTCATCCTGGCAGGGGTCTGTCCCCATCCCCCATCTCTCTGCCCCTCACACAGGCTTTGTGCCCTAGAGTGGGGAAGATGTGGATGAGGAGCCCCTGGGCTGGGCAGCATGCTCATGCCCTTTGTCCCCCACCTGCAGGGTGTCACACAGCCCTGACTGTAAGATGGATGTGCTCAACCTGTCCCGTGTGTTTGGCCCTACGCTGGTGGGATACAGCTCAGCCAACCCCACACCACTGGCCATCATGGAGGACACGCCTCGGCAGTGCAAGGTGAGGGGTCTCTGAGGTGTGGGGTGTACCCTGGGCACTGCCAGTGTCCCCATCCTACACCTCTCTCTGCCCAGGTGGTGGCTCGTCTCCTTTCACTGCCACCCAGCTTCTGGAGAGGCTTTGTGGAGACAGAGCAGGAGAACCTGGTGCCAGTGCCAGCCCTGGGGCGTGAATGTGGTGAGCACAGGAGCCCCAGCCCCCACCCACCGTGGCCTTCGGCTTCTTTGAAGGGTCCTGGTTGTCCATGGCTGGGGTGAGATAGCTGTCCCCAATCTCTCCTGCAGAACCCTTCTTCCAGCCCATTGCCTCTCCGGAGCCCAAGCCAGGCCAGCTGAGCCCAGCTGGTACCTGCTGCCTCCCCAGCACCCTGAGGAGCTGCGTGGGCACGGCCACCCGGCCCCCGTGAGTGCTGTCGGGCGTGGGTGGGGGCCCAGGGGAGCTCGCTTTGTACCCCTGACTCATCTCTCCCCACGCAGGCAGGGGCCAACCCCGAAGAAGGTGGGCCGGTTCTTCCCTTCTCCTGTGTAGCCCGCAGCAGTGGCTCCCTCGGGACACGGCGCTGGCACTGGAGGAGCAGCCTTTAGCTGCAGGAGCAGGCAGCTGCCTGTGGGGTGACTGTGCCGAGCTCAAAGCTCTGCTCTGCTTCCCTGGGGTGCCTCCCCGGAGACTGGGGAGCAGAGCTGGCTCTGTCCAGCTGTGGTGGCAGGGACACTATACTAGTGCTTGTACTTTGAATTGGGTTTGTATTAAAAGTTTGCAGCAAAACACACCTGGCTGTGGCTGCTGTCTGTCCTGCCCTGCTGCTGTCAGGGGTTGGGGCTCACTGGAGCGTGGCTGTGCAGCAGACAAGAGATGAGCAATGCTCCACAGAACCCCTGCTTTGGGAGGGCAGGCACAGCCCCCTCCCACCCCATTCTGCTCTGCAGCCCCGGATGTGGGAGGCCCCTCTCTGAGCCCAGATGTTGGCCTCAAGTAATTGGAGCTGTTGCTGCTCAGGGCAGGACAACCTTAAAGTGTTTCCAGACTTCCTGGCACCTCAGTGGAGGCCTTTTTAACTCCTTCCTCCCCTCCAGCTCAGGCAGTGCTAGAGGTGCGCAAAGCCCAAGCAGGGCTGGGATGTACAGCTCTTTCCCTCCAAGAGGGGGAAGCGGGATCATGCTGTAATGGAGCAATGTGCCAGGCAGGGCTTGTCCCCCAGATGACTCTGCAGAAGGGGCAACCAGTGCAGAGGGAGTTTAGGGAAGAGGCATTACACAACAGGGGTAAGAACTGCCCCCTGTGCCACATCAAGCAGCCAATAAACCTTTGTCCCTACTAAAAGCCAGACCAGATGGGGCACATGGGAGAAAATTCATGTGCAATCCCGAAAGCAAGTACTTTGGCTCAGTTTTCCCCAGCGAAGGAGTGTAACACCAGAGGGCAAGGAAATTAACACATCCAAGGCAGAGGCAAAACTGAAGGAGTTTAATGTGCTTAAAGCTAGGGAACAGCTAATCCCTGCCCAGGACCACAGGAGAACTGGCACAGGAAGGCACAGGCTAGGAGCAAGGATTTACTCCAAAACCATTGAACTGGGATGGAATTGGATGGATAGAGAATGCCTAATGCAGTGCCCTGCTGAAAATGAGAGGCATGATGGGGCCCTTGGTGGAGGGCAGGGCTTTAGCACAGAGGTCAAAACCAGGGAGGTAAAAGGATAAAGGGCAGCATTGGTTACTGTAGATAATCTATGCCAGGCTCAGGAGAAAACTGCCTTCCATGAAATCAGGTTTTTGACACAAGGTGAGGTGTTAAATCTCTGCCACTTGCTAAGTTGATTGCTCTGGTGCCCAGTGGATGTGGCTGGTGACAAGGGGAGATATGCAGTGAGCCCCCCAAGCTCCAGCCATGCTGGTGTGAAGGAGGCTGTTGGCCCACCAGGGTAGCAGGGGCTTGCTGCCCTCACCCTGAGCCCTGCCTAAGCAGCAGGCACAGGTCTCAGCCTGACAAGAAGCAGGCTTGGTAGGGCTGGCAGCTCTCCTGGCTCACACTGAGCCCAGGGGGCAGAGGTGGTACTGGGGAAAGGGGTGTTATTGCAGCTCCCTCCAGGGCCAGCAGACCACTAGTCCGACCCAGCCCTCATGTGTGTGCCAGTGCCCTTAGGATAGCCTGGCACTGCTGTTTTCCCAGCAGTAGGCAGGAGCCCAGCTCAAGCTGTTACAATCATGCTGAAATCAAGAGCCCTCAGTCTGTTCCTGTGGGTGAGCTGCCTACACATGACAGGCACATTCAAAGCCCCCAGGTCTTGGAGATGGGCCAAGACCTTCCAGGGAGTTGCAGACAGCAAATAGTGCAGGGTAGGAGTGGCAAGGTGGTGCTGGTAGTGCCCTTTGGTGGAGAAACACACAAAGTTGGACCCAAGACCCTGCACGCAGCAAGTGCTCCCTGCATATGCACACAGGCTTGCACCAGAGTCACCTACTGTCCCCAAAGCCTTCACCCTGGCCCAGGGCTGGTCCCTGGGCTGCAAGAGAAGCAGCATGCAAGGCTGATGCTCGTCAGCTTTAATGTCTGTCTGGAGCAGTAGTCAGGCACTTGCAGGGCTCCTGGTCTGCACCTACCCCTCCGGGGGTGCTGAGAACCTCCCAGGATGTGAGGCCTCAGTGCAGGCTCTTGTTGTGGGGCACAGCAGGGAGCAGGGGGCTGGTGCTGCCCATGACTCACAGGATAATCTGGTTTTTGTAGCTTCGGCTCAGCTCCTTGTGAGGAAGGACAATGGAGTTGAGAATAACGACCTCAGCTGGAATGGTGACACTGCAGCCTGGGAGGGGAACGCAAAGGGTTTAGCTGGAGGGGACAAGCTGCCTCGGTGAGCAGGCCCAGGGTGATTCCACACAGCAGCAACGTACCCAGGATTGTGATGGACGGTGTGAGGCGCCCGTCCCGGAAAAGGGTCTCGCTGTCGATCTTGGCATAGGGATCGTTGGGGTTAGGGTCGCTGGGCGTTCCTTCCACCCGGGCCCAGCGCCCAATCGTGCTGTCCCAGCCCACAATGGTATTGAGGACACAGGTGTGGTCCTGGGGTGAAGGAGAGGGGAATGCAGGGTGCTGCTGCTTCCCTGCAAGGGGTGGGGTGGACACCTAGTCCCTCAGGCAAACCCCACTTACATGGAGGGAGGCGCCATGCAGGACGATGGACTCTCGCACACGCACACCAGCGCCCACCGTCACACCCTCCCCAATGGAGACGTTGGGGCCCAGCTGTGAGGACAGAGGCAGGTGATGAGGACAAGGACAATGATGCCCTTGGCACCCCTGAGCGTGGCCATGCCCCAGGGCCCCCCAGCCTGCACTCACCACTGCAGTGCTGTCGATGGAGGCTGTCGGGTGGATGTACACATTCCCTGCAACACAAGGCACAGCATTCACGGGAGGCAACCCACAGGAGCACCTGCCTCTCAGACAAAGGGAGGTCCCCCTCGTGGGTCCCACTGCCTCCCTAGGCAGTCTCAAAAGCACTAGTGTGTCAGAATGGTACCTCGGATGACAGGGCCTCCAGGTTTGTTCTGGGCCAGTCTCTCTGGGTGGCTTTTGCTGTATTGGTTCAGGTAAAGGCGGCTGGCATAGATAGCAGAGCTGGAGGAGGAAAAGCAGAAGATTGTTATTGTCACTCTGCCACTACCAGAGCAGAGGAGGATCCAAAATCAGTACCACCCACCCACCCCCAGGGTTCTGCCAGAGCACCCTGCACTCCCAGCCATGATACAGATCACTCCCATCCCTGGTACAGACCCCTTGATGCTCCTGCTACACCAGCTCCAGCACTTACCCAGCTGACTTGATCTGGCTCCAGAAGCCATCAGTTTTGTACACATACAGCTTGCCACTGCCAGCCAGGGCCGTGAAAACATCCTGCTCTAGCCGGATCACTTCTGCACGCTGCCAGCCATTGGAACTTTCCTCTCTGGAAGCAAGAGTCCTGTTAGACACCCACCCCAGCCATGGCCTCAGCCAAAAACCCCAGCAGATCTACCCTCCCCAAATTCAGGGACTCTGACAATCCCAGATTCCCACCTAGCCGTGCGTTTCTCCCCAAAAGTGGGGAGAGTGCCAGCTGTCAGGCTAGGTTGGGACAGCCCCACTGAGCCCCAGAGCAGCAGAGGGACAGCCAAAATAAGCTCTCAGCCAGAAGCTGATGGTGCAAGAGCCCCACCTAGTCCAGGTGGGTGTATGATCCTGTCCCCAGTCCAGAGCCTGCACAGCTGGATTTTAACTTGGGTGGTGGTAGAGATATGAGGTGACAGGCTGGCTGGTGCAAAGAGCTGGAGAGGGGAGGAGAGCATTCCCAGGCAGAAGGCTTGCTCTGCCTCTTGTCCAGAGCTGAATGAGAATGGGGTAGGAAGAGAAAAAGGGAGAGGGAAAGTCTCAAGCTGACCAGGAGCAGAGCAGAGGAAACAGCAGCCTGGAGAAGGGAGGGAGAACATGCATTACCACTACGGTCAATCCAGCCCAGAGAGCAGCAAGTGCAGACACAGAGGGAGACTTACCCAAGGTAAGGACAGCTGGTGCAGGACCAGGAAACAAGTGAGTGATGGCAGAGGAGGAGAAAAGATAGAGAAAGTATGGAGGATGAGCGTGCTGCTGCAGCCCCAGGAAGCAGAGGGGTGGGAGGGACACAGAGCAGAGTGAGGCACTCACAGTGCTAGCTCCTGTTGGTTCCTCTGGAAGACCTCGCCAATGTGCTGGAAGATGGCAGGTGTGAAGAGGTAGATGCCACAGTTAATGATCTCACTGACAAACGTGCTAGGCTTCTCCACGTAGTGCTGAACCTGGAGGCGAGGGAAGAGACATGAATCCCAGAGCACAGCCCCTCCATCCAGCACCACACCCTCTGTGACACACTGGGACCACAGACCCACACAGGTGACACAGCACCTGCCGCCCACACTGTGCTCGACTCCCCAAGGCCCTCCAGTACCTCCTGTGTGCCCGTATTTGCCACGATACAGCCATAATTCAGTGCCTGTGTCCTGTTGGCCTAAGAAACAAGGACAGTGTTAGCAATGGTGGAGCAGTAGGCACAGGGAGGCAGCGCACATGAAACCTGGGCCTCACAGTCTGGGACCCACCCACCACAGGAGCTGCTGGCTTCTAAGCCCACAGCAGAGCACTGCAGCTCTGCCGCTCCCCAGCACTGCCACTCACTGTGGTACCCAGAATGACAAAGCTGTGCATGTCCCCATGCTGCTGCCGAAACTCCAGCATCTCCTGTAAGGGGAACTCTGAGCACACGTCTGCGTTGAGGACAAAGAAGGCCTCAGCACCACCTGACAGGATCTGGTCTCGGAAGTGATAGATGCCACCACCCGTGCCCAGGGCTGCGTACTCCTGCAGATACCTACAAGCCAAGCAGGAAAAAGGGAGGGCTTAGGGAAGCAGATGTCTAGTGGCACCAACCGCCAGCAGGATTGGGAAGGACTGGAGAGACATAATCCTGTCATTCACTGATGGGTTTCATGCAGGCATTGCATAGAAGAAGCCTGTGGCAGCTTAGAGTTGTGCTAGAGAGGCATCTCTGGAGCAGGAACCATCCAGGGCAGGGGCCAAGGCAAAGGAAAAGTGGCAGAACTAATGGGGGAACCAGGCTGTGCCCATCCACAGTGCCACATAGCACACCTGCCCAATGCCAGAGTGCTGACTGAGAGGCTGCCAGGCTGGGGCAGGCAGGTGAGGTGCTGTGCCACTGTGTGCGCCCTAGGAGTGAGAGAGCTCCTGCCCACCTGATGGGAACCTTGAACTCCTGCTGTGCCGACACGAGAAAGCGGCTGAGGGCCTCATTGGGCTGGTAGAAACCCATCAGCAGGATCTCCTTCATGCCAGGCACCTGGGGAGGGACGGAGGAAGGGATCAGAAAGCAAAGGAATGGCACTTCTCCCTTGCCTCCCCGGCCCCAGCCCGCCGGCCCCCCGTACCTTGGCGCAGGCTTCGATGTGGTGCTGCACCATGGGCACTCCGGCCACGGGGAAGAGCGGCTTGGGCACCTCGAAGGACAGCGGCCGGAACCGGGTCCCTGTGGAGCAGAGCGGGGTGGGCCGGGCACTGCGCCGGCGGGACAGCCCGCGGGCCGGGGCACTTACCCTTCTGCGGGCCCCCGATCAGGATGACGGCCTTGAGCGGCATCGCGGCTCGGCTCCGCTCCGGCGGCTCCGCACCGAGCCCCGGCTCCGTCACCGAGCCCCGGCTGCGTCACCGAGTCCCAGCACCGCCCCGGCTCCGTCACCGAGTCCCGGCTGCGTCACCGAGTCCCAGCACCGCACACAGCCCCGGCTCCGTCACCGAGTCCCAGCACCGCACACAGCCCCGGCTCCACACCGAGTCCCGGCTCCGCACCCAGCCCCGGCTCCGCACCCAGCCCCGGCTCCGCACCCAGCCCCGCCGCCCGGCCCGGCCCGGCCCGGCCCGGCCCCACCGCCCCTTCCGCGCACGTGGCTGGGACACGTCAGCGCCGGGCCGGGCCCGCTGCCGGTCCTCACCGCCAGGGGGCGGCCGCGCTCGCTCTGAGGGCCGGGAGCCCCCTCAGCGCACAGCGCGGCCGCTGCGGGGCGGCTGCGGCCGTGAGGGGGCCGTGGTCAGTGAGGGGGCCGTGGTCAGTGCGGGGGCCGTGGTCATTGAGGGGGCGATGGTCAGTGCGGGGTTGATGGTCAGTGCGGGGGCCATGGTCAGTGCGGGGGCGATGGTCAGTGCGGGGGCGATGGTCAGTGCAGGGGGCCGTGGTCAGTGCGGGGGCCATGGTCAGTGCGGGGGTGATGGTCAGTGCAGGGGGCCATGGTCAGTGCGGGGGTGATGGTCAGTGCGGGGGCCGTGGTCAGTGCGGGGAGCGGCTGTGGCCGTGTGTGTCTGTGCAGGCAGCGGGAAGGTGCAGGGCAGGCGCTGTGGCTGTGTGTGTGCCCCAGCGCTTCGGAGCGCCGTGCGGGGACAGCGTGGCTCCTGGGACGCCCTTGCGCACACGGCGTGCGGAGGCGCGGCTCCGCAGCCACGCGTGTGCGTGTCGGGAAGCGGGTGAGTGCCCGCGGGCACCAGGCGGTGCCTGTGCCCCTGCCAGGGCAGGGCAGCACCAGCGGGCTGTAACCGGAGCAGTCCCTGCCGGCGCAGCACAGCCTCATATGGGTAGCGGGTATTTATAGCCAGGCGTCAGGTCCCTCACCGGCACCTGCCATGCCCGGAGCAGGAGCCCTGCCCTGCTGTCCCGCTGTCCCAGCCACCATCAGGCCCTTTGGCACTCCGTGTTTTCACTCCATGACGTGAGAGCCATGTGAATCAGCCCCGTTGCGCTCACCCTAAGGCTTCACAGCTTCTCTTTTTCACCAGGTTTCCAACATGGAAGCCCAGCCTCACATGGAATCTTTCTGGACTCGTGTCCCTAGGTTTTGGGACCTAGATACCAGGGGCTGCACTTCACACTCATGCAATTCCCTCCCAGGAAGGCACTGAAACTGGAGGGGCTGCTCAGGGTCTTTATTGCTGCTCTGGCATGTTGCTTGCTCCAAACCATGGGGACATTGGCAACTCCAGAGCCTGGCAGAGAGGAGGGGACAGGAATGGGGACTGGAATGAGCAGACGCCTTCTTCCCAAAATCAATAAATAAAGCCCTATCTCTACAGCAGCATGAGGAAGGTGAGTGTCCAGCCGCTGTTCCTGTTCTCCTGCTCGGGGCACCCCACATCGTGCCATCAGTCGGAGAGGGCTGAGGAGGGGGCACAGGGCAGGGCAAGGCACCTCGGGGTCAGGTGAGAGGTGTGAGGGATCTGGGACAGGCGGGCAGGCTGGTAGTGGGGTACAGGGCGAGGTCTGGAGCTGGGTGGGCAGAGCACGAGCAGCGTGGGCCTGAGCAGACACAGGAGGTGTGCATGGCACCTGGGCGCCCCCCTGCAAAGAGGGGGTGCCTGCCAGTCCCCCACCCTGGCACGAGGTGCAGCCGACAGCCCCAGGGAAGGCACCGGCATCGGTCCTGGAGCCACAAACCCACTTGCCAGGACCAAGGCTGGGAGGAGCGGAAGGTGGGGGGCTGGCAGCCCCCCCTCCCAGCTGTAAGGACTGGGGCTGTGCTGGCTGGTAGGGGATTGTGAGCAAGCCCCTCTCTGCAGGAACCACTGGAGCAACCTCAGTCTTCTGGTGCTGGTGTGCAAACGAGGGGGAGCATGAGGACTGCCACACCGTTGCCAGGGGCAGCTGCAGGCTGCAGTGTAAGGCACACGGCTGATGGGACCCATGTGGCCAGGGCTGGCTAGCAAACTGGCACCTCTTCCCCTCTCACCCGGGGCTTTCCTTGCCCCTCTGTCTGCATCCCATTCTTCCCCTGACCCTCTGCCACATTCTCTGTTCCTTGCAGCAAGGCCTCCCACCACCCTCCCACTGCCAGACCCCACTGCTGGTCTGGCTGCGGCAGCACCTCTTCTTCATTGGCACTGCCAAAATGATGCTGCTGGCCACCATCATCCCTAACAGCAGCACGTGAGGTCCATGGACTCATCCTGGCGCGTCCCGGCTCCTCCTCAGCCGCCCCGTACTGCGGCCCATGGAATGTTCCTCTGGCTCCCCGGCCCCTCATGGCCGTGGCCAAGGCACCAGTTACTGTGGCCCTGGTGGCTGGCCGCCCTGGTAGGAGCGGAGTAAGACCTTGTGCTTTGTGACAGCCTCGCCACGGCGCCTCTGGTGATCCACCAGGAATTCCTTGAGGCGGTTGGTTGTGAAAGTCAGGGTCTGCCGGCGCAGCTTCATCAGGTAGGCATCCTGGAGCCAGGCATTGGCGAAGCAGTCCTTCACCGTGGGGCGGCTCCTGGGGCAGAGCCAGCTCTGCATCAGGGACTGCTGGGGTGCCCACTGCTGCTCCACCCCCCAAACTCAGCCACCACCCTTGCCCTGCAAGACCCAGGGGGTCCCAGCCCTCTCCAAGAGCAGTGATGGACTCCAGGCTCCCACTGCTGATATCTGGAGGGGTCATACGTGGCAGGGAACTGGCTCAGTCACAGGCACAGTCTGGTGCCATGTGTCCTCCCTGGCTGGGCTGGACACTCACCATGGGTGGACAGTGAGGACCTTGCGGATGAAGAGGGCAGCAGTCTGCGAGACATTGGGGTACAGCTTGAAGGCATCGAAGCGCCCTGCCAGGATGCGGTTCTCCGTCTCTATGGGGTCCAGTTCAAAGAATGGTGACCGCCCGCTGAGCCTGTGGTGGTGGAGGGGATGATGGGCTGGGGGGACAGCGATGGGAGGGTACTTGCTGTCCCACTGTCCCACTTCCCCCCATCCCTGGTTTGAAAAGCCACAGCTACCCAGGGTGATTTCATCTTCCCATGTCCAGCTGGGAAGGGTCTACTGGGCTACAGCATCCCTCAGCCCACCACCACTGGTGTCCCCTGTGGCACTGAGCCCTGGGTGGGGCTGACTGCACTTCAAGGTTCTCATCCCCCTGACCCCTTCTCTTACATGATGTAGGCGAGGACACCAACACCCCAGACATCTGCTGCGGAGCCCACCGGGTCCCCCTTCACCACCTCTGGCGCTGTGGGCAGGGAAGCAGGTCTGTCATATACGCAGAGACACCAGCCCCAGCATCTGCAGCAGCCCCAGCACACACAGCACCCACAGTATGCCAAGCACCTACAGAAGTCCCAGATCCCCAGGATCCCCAACACCCACAGCATCCCCAACACCCATAGCAGCCAAGCACCAACAGCAGCCACAGCACTCCACTACTGCACCCTCCAACACCCCTCCCTGACACTGCAGCATCCTGACAGAGCCCTGCTAGCCTCCAAAGATACCCCAACTGCCCCACAGCACCCAGACTCTCCCACTGACCCCAGCGATGCTACAGAAATTCACAGACACCCCCAGCACCCCAAAGGCCTCCCACCTTCCCCGAGGACACAGTTCTTCCCCATTCCCAAGTTCCCCAGAGCATAGGCATACATGCACACCTTTGGGAATAAGCATGCCCCAGTTCTGCCCCTGTCCCCCATGCCACTAGACCCATGGTTTCCCACTCACACATGTACTCCAGAGTGCCAGCACGCCGCCCCAGCTGCCGCAGCACAAGTGGGTTGTAGGTCTGGGCACTGCCAAAATCAATGATCTTGAGGGCATTTGTGCCTGAGACGATGATGTTGTCTGGCTTGATGTCGAGGTGCACAATGCGGCGGCCATGCAGGTACTCAAGGCCCTGCAGGAGCTGCAGTATGTAGCTCACCACGTCATCCTCTGAGTAGCGAAACCTGGGGGACAAGTGCCGTCAGCAGGTAGCCCCATACCAGCAACTGTCCCCGGTGGCCCTGTGCCCAGCTGTACCTGTCCACCATGCTGTAGAGGATCTCCTTGCCAGCACAGTTCTCGCAGATGAGCACCAGGTAGCGGGGGGTGATGTACGCCTCATGCAGGGCCATGACGCGCTCATGGTGCAGCGCCTTGAGGATCTCGTACTCCTGCAGCACGCTCTGCTTCCGCTCCGCCTCGTAGGGCACAATCTTGGCCATGAAGTGCTTCCCTGTGGCATTCTCCTTGCATAGCCGGATCACCCCAAAACGGCCTCTGTGGCATAGGGCAGGATTCAGCATCCCTGGCGTGGGGTGCTGCAAGAACACCCCGGCACAGCACCTTTTCCTACCGCTACTCACCTTGCTTTCTCATCCAAGAAGGTATATGGCTTCTGGGGGACACCCTGCCGCAGTGCTGTGCTGTCTTTTGTCCCTGGGACCCCACTAGCAGCTGGGGGCTCCTTGGAGGGTGGGGGAGTGGTGGTGGGCTCCACCGCAGGGGGTGATGTGGGGGGCATGGAGATGAAGGAGGTTACCATGTAGGGAGGCATTTTCCGTGAAGGTGTGGTGGTGGGGGTGGGAGATGGTGTGGGGGCTGAGCTGGGCGTGGTTGACACTGGGGAAAGGGTGGGGGACTTGGAAGGAGACAGAGCCTGGGGTGGGGGGGAAGTGTCCGTGGGGGGTGCAGGGGAGCCCGGAGTGGGGGTGTCTGTATGAGGAGAGGCAACAGTCCGAGGCGGGGTGAACATCAGCTCAGGAGGCACATAGACAGTGATGTTGGGTGGAAGCTCAGGATCTGGTGGCACACCCTCTTCATGGGGTGCAGGAGGTGGAAGAACCCCAGTGGGGGCACCCTCCTGTTCTGCTCCGGCTGCCTTCTGTACCACTCCCTTGTGCTTGCGTGGTGGTGTGGTGGGAGGGGCCGCTGCAGCCACCGGCTCCAGCTGCTCCTCGGCTGTCTGGGTTGAGCGGCTGGAAGCCACCTTTTCAGGAATGGGGACAGCAACATCCTTGGCTGGGGCAGCTCGGGCATCTACAGGGAGCAAAGGGAGGTGTGAGCCAGGTGGGGGTAAGCTAGGAGTGGACTGTAAGTGGCACCTCATTTCCCAAAGCCCTGGGGGGAAGATGCCAT